AAAAAAAAATCCACTATTTGCATTGTTAAGGATGATGTCAAGAAGACTGGGAACCAAGAAAACCAAGGCAGAGACAGAGAGAGAAAAAACCCAGCTGCCTGCAAGGGCTCATGATTAAGCTCAAAGTATTTCTAATGGGATCCAACAGGGATCAGAGGCTGACCTGAATCAGTTTGACATTTTCAGTAGAATGGAGATGAATGCAAGATCTGTCCTGACAAGGTTCTGTCTTAGCATGAGTATAAAGAAATTTCACCTCAGGGAACAGAGGTGCACTGGGCCATGGACCCAGAGATGCTGTGGGATCCTCCTCCACCTATGAGGAAAGGCTGAGGGAGTTGGGATTGTTCAGCCTGGAGAAGAGAAGGCTCTGGAGAGACATTAGAGCTCCTTCCAATGCCTAAAGGGGCTCCAGGAGAGCTGGAGAGGGACATTGGACAGGGCCTGAAGCGACAGGACAAGGGAGGATGGCTTCCCACTGTCAGAGGACAAGGGCAGATTGGATTAGATTGGAAGTTGGGTGCAGGGAGCACGAGCAGGATGGAAAGCAGGGATGTCTTCCTCAGGGCCTTCTCTTCCTCTGCAGAAGTAGAACTGAGGACGCGTGAAAGTCTTCACATCTATTAATCATTAACTCCTGTTGCACAGTGGCCCACAGAGTGGTAAAATGCAGCCATTGCTGGGAGTGGGAAAATTACAGTGCCATACCCCAGGACAGAGCAGGAGGAACAGGAGTAAACATGGGTACCAAGGAGAGACAAGCCTATTCCCCTGTCAAAGCCTCAGCTGCTCTGCAGACTTCCAGACTTCTCATTTGTGCTCCTGGCTTTCCATGCCAGCTGCTGCCAACTGAAGCTCCCAATGAGTTTCCTCAGGGGCTTTGTTCTGCCATAGAGGCAGGTCCTGACGAGGCAGCTGCCTCATGACCTAGAGGCACACTGTGACAGAGAGGCAGCTGCCTTGTGACCTTTAGCTTTTGACATTGAGTTCTGTCAGTCAGACATGGCCTGGAGGCAGGAAGAAGTTTTTCCAAGTGGCAAAGCTTTCAGAGACAGTCTGAGCACTCATGTCCCAGGGGCTGTGACGTCCTCCAACTACAGCAAAGAGCTTATATTGTTTTCCCAGATTTCTGGACCTCCATTCCAGTTTGCTTGGTCTTGCTCAGCCTTCTCCATCCCTTCTTGCAACCTAAGATATGCACAGGCTTGGGATACAGTCCTCATCCAGGTACTGTCACCAGCACTTGTACTCATTTGTCCTGATCCTCTAGTGCAGGTCTCCTGGTCACCTGCTGCTCTGTTTGAATTAGCTGTCCAGTTCCTCATCCCCCTGAATGTCCCTGTGCTGTGCTCACTGTCCTTTTCCTTCCTTTCTCCCCACAGAAAGGGTGGATTGAAGGACAGCCTCACAGGCAAGGTGTTGTCCCCCTCCTCCATTTGTTCCTGAGCTCAGTGCGTACGAGCTGCTTCAGTTCAAGTAGGAGGATCTATCAGCTGCTTAAAATGCAATTCTCCAAGCTCCCATCTGCATAAGGGCCCTGGGGGAGAGCAGACTGGGAACACCAGCTCACCCAGTGCTGACTCCCTCAATTCTCTGCCCCAGCATCCCTGTCCCTCCAGCACATCTCTCCTCTGGAGATGTCCCAGAGAATCTCTTAGCCAGATGAAAGGAGAGACCACCACAACCCAAAGGCTCCACAGCTGTGCTCCTGCCTCAGCCCCAGCCCCATGCACAAAGTAACCCTGGGGTACTGTTACCCCACACCAGACTCCTGCTCTGTCCTGGTGGAGAAACCTGCTCTTTATTCCTGGTACTCCAGCTCTGCCAGTGCTGATGGAAGTGACAGCAGCACAGAGCAGTGCTGTGCCCTGCAGGGCTCTGGAGCTGCAGTGGTGCTGTGCTGAGGCCTGAGCACACAGGAGCCTGGAAGGGCAAACAGGCACTGCAGAGCAGCATCACCGAGCTCGTGCTGTGCCAAATCCCTCCTAGCCAGGTCACTCCGTGTGACCCAGATGTGCTCTGTGGCAGCTGAAGTCACTGTCCCCGCGGTGTCCGGCTCTCCAGCAGTGGTGCAGAGTGACTCTGAGCCTGTCACCCGTAAATACTGACTCGCTGGGGCTCTGTATTTTGCAGTTACAGTTTCTGTTTCAGTTTCTAGATCCTTCACTGCTCTCCCTCAGGCACCAAACCACCTTGCAGGCAGCAAAGCAGAGAACTCTCCCCTCGGATAGAATTACTGGCAGTTCAGCCTGCACTTCTTTGCCACTGGCTGTGTTTTTCCAGTTGCCAAGGCAACTGGACATTTCACAGTCCTCCTCTGTCCTCTCTGATCCAAAATCCCATTCAGGTGAGCAAAGGAAAGCAGCTGATGAGGTGCTGTTGAGAGCTCCGAGTTTGCTGCTAGCAGTGCTATCCCAACAGGACCCGCAGGGGCAGGAGTGCAGGTCACTCCAGGCTGCTTCTCCCACCCTCAGAAAAATACACTAACCATGAATTTCCTGATTTGGCCCTGGGAACACGGTGAGGGCACGCGGCCCCTTCGGGACCGGTGGCTGCAGGGCTGTGGAGGGGCTGTGAGGGGCACGAGGGTGGCAGGTCCTGCCGGAGGAGGGACAGCAGCCCTGACCGCCTGCTCCTCTGCCCGACGTCATGGGGCACCACTTCCTCTTCCCATGGTACTGGTTGCACTGGAGAGACAACCAAGCTCAGAGCATCACCATCGCCCGTCCCTGCTCAGCGGCGCTTCCTCCGAGGAGGTGAGGGGCTCTGGGGGGAACTGACCGGGACCAGGGACACCGGGAGACTCTCTTTCCCAGCTGCAGGGCTGTGAGGGTCCTGGCAGTGCTCCTTGGGGCTGAGTGGGGACAGGGATAGGTCTGTGGGACAGGAGCCACATGGTTACAGTGCAGTGATTTGTGGCCAGTATCTCTGGGCTGGGAAACCACAAGGCTGGGACACTTCTGGGCACAGGGATAGCAGGGTCATTTGAGCTGCCACGGGTGGTGTGGGGGCAGCTGGAGTGGTCCATTGAGCAGGGGCTTCACTCGGTCACAGGGAGACAAGACCACTCGACTTTGCCTGTCCAGAGCCCTGTGCCTGAGCCATCGGTGACTTCAACATGTTGCATGAAATATTCCGTGCTGCCTGAGACCTCTAGCTCTGGGCTGATTGGAGCTGCAGGTGCTGGCCATGCAGCCCCCAGCCTGTTCCCACCCCTCCATGGGCTTAACAACCCCTGAAGCTCCACAAGTGCCCTAACCAGCCCAGGGCACTGCTGGCTCCTGCCTGACCACCACCTCTGATGACAGAGGCTCTTCGCATCCCTCATGGCAAGTGCTTGTGGCTACTTGCAGGAGAGCAAAAGAGTAAGTCACAGGGACCTGTGACTGCCACCAGGGAAAGCCTCGGGGCTGTCAGAGTCCCCCAAAGCCTGTGGGGAGAAGAGCTGCATTTCATGGCAGCTTCCTCCTAGGGAGAACACACAGCTGGGTTTCCGGTGCACTGGTGATGACGCATTTGTGCTTCCTCCTTCAAGATGAGGTGACCGTTCAGTGGCTTTTGGAAAGGGCAGGCTGGCAGGGAGCACAGCCTGCTGCAGCCACCTGGGATTGGGAAAATTCCCCCCACCCCATTCCGTCTCCCACTTCTGATGGTGCAGCAGTTCTGGCTGTCCAGGGCACATCCTAGGGATCCGATTGAAGTGCAGCAGGTTGGACACCACGGTGAGCAGAGATGCCCATGCTGCAGGAACTGCAGAAAATTGTTCATGTGGAGAAACACAACTGGTGCTGACACATGGCCACACATCATCACCTGGGCAGCTGGGGGAGGCACAGGGTGCTCCTGTGGACTGGAGGGATTTTTCTCTCCTTCAGTTTTCCCAGTACAGAGGGAACACCTCTGTAAACCTGCTGTGGTCTCCTCTGACCCTGGGATGAAGGCTGTCCATGAAGCCCTGCTCTTCACTCTTGCCTTGTCCCACAGGATCCAAGTCCCTGAGCACTTCGTGAACTCCCTGAGGACAAGAAAACCCTTTTCCCTCTGACTTTAGGCTTACATGAGTGCTTTTAGACAGAGAACAGAAAATTCAAATACGGATATTTAGGAATAGTTCATGCACACAACCAGCAGTTGGTACCTCCTGCTCCTTCTTCCTGGCAATGATTTAGTGCCCCTGAAGCTGCAGAGCCCCAGGGCTGCTGGGGTGGGAGCTGCATGATGCCTGTGTGGGCAGAGCTGGGGTGCAGAGGCTATGGGGCTCCTCTACCCACAGCTGCTCCGCAGTGCTGGTGTGCACAGGGACGAGAGCTCACTGCCACCGCCTTGGTGGGTGGATGGGCTCCACTCCAGAGGAGAAGCTAAAGTTTGGCTCATGGCCAGGGTGATGATGCTTTGCTGCTTCCCTGCAGACCCTCAAAGTGTTTCAGGCAGAGAGCAGCTCCTTGTGCAGCACACACTGCCAGCCAGCCCTTCCCAGCCCTAAGGAACTGGTGGCAGTGGCAGCAGCAGAGCACAGCAGTACCACCACTGAACAGTTTGAAAAGCAAACGAAAAACCCAGGCTATTTCAGGTCCCTCGGGGGGGTGAGCAGCGTCCCAGGAGGCTGGGCAGGGAGGATGGGTGGGAAGGGGTCCTGTGGTGCCACTGCCAATGGTCTCTGTGACATCTTCCTGCAGGTGGCTCATGAGATGCTGTACCAGAGGAGCAAAAAGTTGCTGCTGGCCCTGTGCCTGCTGCTGGCCCTGTGGCAATGTTTCCGAGCCCTCATGGATGGCCTTGGCCCCATCCGTTGGGCTCCCTCTCTCCTCCACACCCCTGCTGCCCACTGCGCCGCCCGTCCCAACAGCTCTGCCTGGTTCAGCGCTCGCTACGACGCAGCCGTGGGGCCTCTCTTGACGGGTGCAGCCCACGAGCTCTCCTCGGATGTGGTTCAGTGGTGGCTGGTGAGTGGGGCCATGGGCAGAGCTTGTGGCTCTTTCGAGGCTCCCTGAATCTCTCTGTGGCAAGAACAGATGCAATAGGGATAAAGAGGGTGAAGGAATCCCAGCTCAGCTCAACCCCCCACCCTGGGCTGTTCTGCACCCTTTTCCTACTATCCCATCGAGTTTTTCTGTGTTTTCCCATGGTTCTGCTAGGAGGAGTGGGGCTCTGTCTCGCTCTGGGAGTACCACTGGGGCAGCTGGTGCCACCTGTCACTATGCTTGCTCCCTCAGACCCTGCAGGGTTCCCCGAGTGGCATCCAGCTCCAGGCCATAATCCAGCAGCTATTCGCCGTGCTCCGGGCCCCGACCGGCAGCCTGCGGGCCCCGTCGGGATGCAGAACGTGTGCAGTGGTGGGGAACTCGGGGCGACTGAAGGGGTCCAGTCATGGGCTGCTCATTGATGCCCATGACTGGGTGCTGAGGTGGGTGATCTGAAGAGACTTGAGCCCTCCGGGTCTTCCGAGGCCCCTGGTGTGCCCCAGGCCCTGGCCATGCTGTTGAAATCTGCCAACACAAGGCCTGTGATGGGGCTGGCTGCTGACCCTGCTCTCTGCAGCCTTCCATCCTGGGGCACACACTGGCTCTGTGGCACTCATGTCCACTCCATGCTGCTGGCCAGGGTGACCTGCTGTCCCTGCCTGTTGGGACCAGGAGCCTGGGACCCGAATGGCATGCACCTTTGTTTCAGAACATGCCATCCTGCTGTCCTTTAGGATGAACAGAGCTAAGATCACTGGCTTTGAGCTGGATGTTGGCACGAGAACAACCCACCACTTCATGTACCCAGAGAGTGCAGTGAATCTTGGGCCCAGTGTCCACCTTGTCCTTGTTCCCTTCAAGCCACTGGACCTGCAGTGGGTGACCAGTGCCTTCTCCACTGGAGAGCTCACACGGTACGCCAGCTCTGTGGGATGGCACCTCTTATGCTCAAGACCCTGGGGACACTAGCACCACAGTCCTGGTGGGACAAAGGGTGCTGGGCAATGGTCCTAGCATCCTTCTGCACTGCAGTTTGGGTAGTGAGCACTGACCTGTCCCTGCAGGGCTCAGGCAACCTGCAGCCCCACACTCACATGGGTGAGATACTGGCTGTCTCCACTGTGGGGCCATGGGCTGGATGTGTCCTAGAGCCAGCCCAAGGGGGTGCCACAGGTCTGGGTACTGGTGGATGCAAAGTCTGCAAACAAAGGGGCAGCCCCAGGAGTGGGAGTGCCCCATGCTCACTGCTGGCCTCTGCTTTTGCAGCACATACATGAGAGTGAAACAGTTCATTAAAGCTGACAGAAACAAGGTAAGGGCTCTTGGGCTCCAGCTCCTCTGGGGCAGGCAGGGCAGAGAGCTGATGGCTGCACTGGTGGAGGGCACTGGGTGTCCTGTTCCAGACTGGAGAGCAGCTGACAGCTCCTCCACTCCCCGCTCAGGTGCTGATCCTGAGCCCAGCTTTCCTCAAGTACATCCACGACAAGTGGACCCAGCGTCACGGACGATACCCCTCCACTGGCTTCACTGCCCTGCTCTTCGCCCTGCACACCTGCCAGCAGGTGAGCACAGCCAGTGGGACCAGGGGCAGCAACTGTACCCTTCTGCACTGCTTGTCCATGGGCTGCCCAAGCACACACACAGTGATGGCTCTTGCTGCTGCGTGCACAGGTATCTGTGTTTGGCTTTGGAGCAGACAGTGAAGGGAACTGGCACCACTACTGGGAGAAAAACCGCTGGTCTGGAGCCTTCCGCAGGACGAGAGTCCATGACGCTGATGCCGAGTTCAGCCTCATCCAGAGACTGGCAGATGAAGGCAGGATTTTATTTTACAAATGATGCACTTCTAAGAAACTGAAGCTGTTGGGGCAGGAACAGGCACTGCCAGCAGCTGTCTTGGCTCTTTAGCTTGTTGCTCCCAACCAGCACTCAGGCTCACAGACCCTGTGATGCCCAGGGCCACAGTGCTGCTTGTGCTAGTCCCACCAGCTGTGCACTGCGGGTGCCATGCTCGCATGGCACCAGGGACGCTGCATTTTGCTGGACACAGGGAGGGCATGGCTCTGCCCACACTGTTTGGGAGAGAGGAAGGGGAGATCACAGAATCACAGGACCACTTAGGTTGGAAGGGACCACAGTGGGTCACTGGTCCCATCTCTCTGCTCCAGCAGGGCCTCCCAGAGCACATGGCTCAAGATTGTGTCCAGACGGTTCTGGAATATCTCCAGTGAGGGAGAATCCACGACCTCTTTGGGCAACCTGTTCAGTGCTCAGGGACAGTGGGGCTGGAGGTGAGCACGAAGCTTGTGAGCTGCTGTGCATGGCTCTGCGGTGGCTGTGAAGCTAAGGGTGCCAGAAGTGAATGGGAGCTGCTCAAAATTGGCTGTCTGCATGACAGAGCTGACACTTCCACTCACCGATGACTCTGAGGAAGGTTTGCAGGTGTTCTTTGAGCATCTCTCCTTCCTGTCCTTTTGTCATTAAGGAACTACTTTTTAAATGGTATCGAAGAAGAGTAAGAAGGGAAAAAGACATGGTGACAGGGGACAACAGACTCAGATACAGTTGAAAGGATCTTATGTTGAATAAACTTTGAAAACATTTGTGAATCTACTGTCACCATTTGCTTTACTTGTTGACCTGCTTTGCAAGGCACACAGTCTCAGCCCCCCCACTGCATACCCTGGGGACTGAACTCCCCAAAGGAGGTTTTCCTCCTCCAGAGCAGGGTTAGCAGGATGTCTTTTATCACTTTCAATCACAAACATCCCCAATCCAGACTCAGCTTTACCACTGATTACTCACTCAGGCTTTCAGGCTATTAAAATCATCACAACTCTCCTGCCCATTTCCTTCCAATTGACAGCAATGCCTGTACTGCTTATTACCTTCATTGATTTTCTGCCTCTCCAGGCAGAATCTCCATTTCTATCTCTTTGATTTCTCCATTATTTCAATTTTTCCATTCTGCCTCTTCACCTTCCCTCAATTTATTTCTAGGTGCTCAACAGTGCTCTGGGCAATGCCCTCCAACATTTCCTAGAGTTTACAAGTAATTGGCTTATCAAGGACAAGCTAGTAGCTGATAACTGTTTGACTGCAGGTTAAACTCTTGCTGCATTATTTCCATTCATCTTCTGCCTCCTGCCTATTCTTACAAATTTAGTCACAAAGTTACTCTGATGAGTGATTGAAGCTCTTCAAGTTACTTCTTGTTCCTCATAAAAAAATGTAGATACTATAGAATCATAGAATCATCAAGGTTGGAAGAGACCTCCAAGATCATCAAGTTCAACCCTCCATTTTGGAGATGAAACAGTGTCCTTACACACCACTCAAATTGCTTCTCTCCCTGGTTGAAAAAAACACAGGTTTTTATACTCCCTGGTTTACAGGTAAGTTCAACTAATTAAAGGCACCAACCAGCCTACCTACTTTCAAATTAATTATAAACCAGCTTTCTCTCTGCAGTACCTGTTCCTGTGCTTGTCACACTCACTGTGCACTGCTGGACCAACTGCTTGGACTAAGATTAGAGTCAATAGCAAAGCAAATCCAGAGCTGAGATTTAAGAGTAATCAGTCTGCTTTGTCCCCAGAATAAGACAAGAATCCACAGAATTGTTTTTTCCACATTATTTTCAAATTTCTCCCAAGATAGTTAGTTTCACATACCAACCACTTCACTCACTTGTGTAGATCATTTAAAAGAAAAAAAGCCCCATCATCATCACCATAATCTCCACATACTTTGACACAATGAGAGGAATGCTTAATTCTAATTCCCAATTCAGTACCACAATTACTTACAATAATTTAATTATTCCTTCAAATGCTTTACCAAAACACACAGGGGATGAAGTTTATTTCAGAATAGAAACCAAGGGGAAGTGAAAACACACAATCCAATTTAAAAATGAATTAAAATTCCACCTTTTGTTT